TACAGCTCCAGTAACCACCAGTACAGCTCCGGTCACCACCAGTACGGAACCAGTAACCACCAGTACAGCTCCGGTCACCACCAGTACAGCTCCAGTAACCACCAGTACACCTCCGTCACCACCAGTACGGAACCAGTCAACCACCAGTACAGCTCCAGTGACCACCAGTACAGCTCCGGTCACCACCAGTACAGCTCCAGTAACCACCAGTACAGTCCCGTCACCACCAGTACGGAACCAGTAACGACCAGTACAGCTCCAGTGACCACCAGTACAGCTCCGGTCACCACCAGTACAGCTCCAGTAACCACCAGTACAGCTCCAGTGACCACCAGTACAGCTCCGGTTACCACCAGTACAGAACCAGTCACCACCAGTACAGCTCCAGTAACCACCAGTACAGCTCCAGTGACCACCAGTACGGAACCAGTAACCACCAGTACAGCTCCAGTGACCACCAGTACAGCTCCGGTCACCACCAGTACAGTTCCAGTGACCACCAGTACAACTCCAGTTACCACCAGTACATCTCCGGTTACCACCAGTATGGAACCAGTCACCACCAGTACAGCTCCAGTGACCACCAGTACAGCTCCAGTCACAACCAGTACAACTCCAGTGACCACCAGTACGGGACCAGTAACCACCAGTACAGCTTTGGTCACCACCAGTACAGCTCCAGTCACCACCAGTACGGAACCAGTAACCACCAGTACAGCTCCAGTCACTACCAGTACGGAACCAGTGACCACCAGTACGGCTCCAGTGACCACCAGTACAGCTCCGGTCACCACCAGTACAGCTCCAGTAACCACCAGTACAGCTCCCGTCACCACCAGTACGGAACCAGTAACCACCAGTACAGCTCCAGTCACTACCAGTACGGAACCAGTGACCACCAGTACGGCTCCAGTGACCACCAGTACAGCTCCGGTCACCACCAGTACAGCTCCAGTAACCACCAGTACAGCTCCCGTCACCACCAGTACGGAACCAATAACGACCAGTACAGCTCCAGTGACCACCAGTACAGCTCCGGTCACCACCAGTACAGCTCCAGTGACCACCAGTACAGCTCCGGTCACCACCAGTACGGAACCAGTAACCACCAGTACAGCTCCAGTGACCACCAGTACTGCTCCGGTCACCACCAGTACAGCTCCAGTGACCACCAGTACAGCTTTGGTCACCACCAGTACAGGATCAGTAACTACAAGTACAACTCCAGTCACAACCAGTACAACTCCAGTTACCACCAGTACGGGACCAGTAACCACCAGTACAGCTTTGGTCACCACCAGTACAGCTTTGGTCACCACCAGTACGGAACCAGTAACCACCAGTACAGCTCCAGTAACCACCAGCACAGCTCCGGTCACCACCAGTACGGAACCAGTAACCACCAGTACAGCTCCGGTCACGACCAGTACAGCTCCAGTAACCACCAGTACAGCTCCCGTCACCACCAGTACGGAACCAGTAACCACCAGTACAGCTCCGGTCACCACCAGTACAGCTCCGGTCACCACCAGTACAGCTCCAGTAACCACCAGTACACTCCCGTCACCACCAGTACAGCTCCTGTAACCACCAGTACAGCTCTGGTCACCACCAGTACAGCTCCGGTCACCACCAGTACAGCTGCAGTGACCACCAGTACAACTCCAGTTACCACCAGTACATCTCCGGTTACCACCAGTACGGAACCAGTCACCACCACTACAGCTCCAGTGACCACCAGTACAGCTCCAGTCACAACCAGTACAACTCCAGTGACCACCAGTACGGGACCAGTAACCACCAGTACAGCTTTGGTCACCACCAGTACAGCTGTGGTCACCACCAGTACGGAACCAGTAACCACCAGTACAGCTCCAGTCACTACCAGTACGGAACCAGTGACCACCAGTACGGCTCCAGTGACCACCAGTACAGCTCCGGTCACCACCAGTACAGCTCCAGTAACCACCAGTACAGCTCCCGTCACCACCAGTACGGAACCAGTAACCACCAGTACAGCTCCAGTCACTACCAGTACGGAACCAGTGACCACCAGTACGGCTCCAGTGACCACCAATACAGCTCCGGTCACCACCAGTACGGAACCAGTCACCACCACTACAGCTCCAGTGACCACCAGTACAGCTCCGGTTACCACCAGTACAGAACCAGTCACCACCAGTACAGCTCCAGTCACCACCAGTACAGCTCCAGTGACCACCAGTACGGAACCAGTAACCACCAGTACAACTCCGGTGACGACCAGTACGGAACCAGTAACCACCAGTACAGCTCCGGTCAACACCAGTACGGAACCAGTAACCACCAGTACAGCTCCGGTCACCACCAGTACAGCTCCAGTAACCACCAGTACAGCTCCCGTCACCACCAGTACGGAACCAGTAACGACCAGTACAGCTACAGTGACCACCAGTACAGCTCCGGTCACCACCAGTACAGCTCCAGTCTTCACCAGTACAGCTCCAGTGACCACCAGTACGGAACCAGTAACCACCAGTACAGCTCCAGTCACAACCAGTACAGCTCCGGTCACCACCAGTACGGAACCAGTCACCACCATTACAGCTCCAGTCACAACCAGTATAACTCCAGTGACCAGCAGTACGGGACCAGTAACCACCAGTACAGCTCCAGTGACCACCAGTACAGCTCCAGTCACAACCAGTACAACTCCAGTGACCAGCAGTACGGGACCAGTAACCACCAGTACAGCTCCAGTCACTACCAGTACGGAACCAGTGACCACCAGTACAGCTCCAGTAACCACCAGTACAGCTCCGGTCACCACCAGTACAGCTCCAGTAACCACCAGTACAGCTCCCGTCACCACCAGTACGGAACCAGTAACGACCAGTACAGCTCCAGTGACCACCAGTACAGCTCCGGTCACCACCAGTACAGCTCCAGTGACCACCAGTACAGCTCCGGTCACCACCAGTACAGCTCCAGTAACCACCAGTACAGCTCCAGTCACCACCAGTACAGCTTTGGTCACCACCAGTACAGGACCAGTAACTACAAGTACAGCTCCAGTCACAACCAGTACAACTCCAGTTACCACCACTACGGGACCAGTAACGACCAGTACAGCTTTGGTCACCACCAGTACAGCTTTGGTCACCACCAGTATGGAACCAGTAACCACCAGTACAGCTCCGGTCACTACCAGTACGGAACCAGTGACCACCAGTACAGCTCCAGTCACCACCAGTACGGGACCAGTAACGACCAGTACAGCTCCAGTGACCACCAGTACAGCTCCGGTCACCACCAGTACAGCTCCAGTCTTCACCAGTACAGCTCCAGTGACCACCAGTACAGCTCCCGTCACCACCAGTACGGAACCAGTAACCACCAGTACAGCTCCAGTGACCACCAGTACAGCTCCGGTCACCACCAGTACAGCTCCAGTCTTCACCAGTACAGCTCCAGTGACCACCAGTACAGCTCCGGACACCACCAGTACAGCTCCAGTAACCACCAGTACAGCTCCCGTCACCACCAGTACGGAACCAGTAACCACCAGTACAGCTCCAGTGACCACCAGTACAGCTCCGGTCACCACCAGTACAGCTCCAGTCTTCACCAGTACAGCTCCAGTGACCACCAGTACAGCTCCGGTTACCACCAGTACGGAACCAGTCACCACCAGTACAGCTCCAGTGACCACCAGTACAGCTCCAGTAACCACCAGTACAGCTCAAGTTACCACCAGTACAGCTCCAGTTACCACCAGTACAGCTCTGGTCACCACCAGTACAGCTCCGGTCACCACCAGTACGGAACCAGTAGCCACCAGTACAGCTCCAGTTACCACCAGTACAGCTCCGGTCACCACCAGTACGGAACCAGTAACCACCAGTACAGCTCCAGTCACCACCAGTACAGCATTGGTCACCACCAGTACAGGACCAGTAACTACAAGTACAACTCCAGAGACCACCAGTACAACTCCAGTGACCACCAGTACGGGACCAGTAACCACCAGTACAGCTTTGGTCTCCTCCAGTACAGCTCCAGTCACCACCAGTACGGAACCAGTAACCACCAGTACAGCTCCAGTGACCACCAGTACGGGACCAGTAACGACCAGTACAGCTCCAGTGACCACCAGTACAGCTCCGGTCACCACCAGTACAGCTCCAGTAACCACCAGTACAGCTCCCGTCACCACCAGTACGGAACCAGTAACGACCCGTACAGCTCCAGTGACCACCAGTACAGCTCCGGTCACCACCAGTACAGCTCCAGTGACCACCAGTACAGCTCCGGTCACCACCAGTACAGCTCCAGTGACCACCAGCACAGCTCCGGTCACCACCAGTACAGCTCCCGTCACCACCAGTACAGATCCAGTGACCACCAGTAAAGAACCAGTCACCACCAGTACGGAACCAGTCACCACCAGTACAGCTCCGGTGACGACCAGTACGGAACCAGTAACCACCAGTACAGCTCCAGTGACCACCAGTACAGCTCCGGTCACCACCAGTACGGAACCAGTAACCACCAGTACAGCTCCAGTCACCACCAGTACAGCTCCAGTCACCACCAGTACGGAACCAGTGACCACCAGTACAGCTCCAGTGACCACCAGTACGGAACCAGTGACCACCAGTACAGCTCCAGTCACTACCAGTACGGAACCAGTGACCACCAGTACAGCTCCAGTCACTACCAGTACAGCTCCGGTCACCACCAGTACAGCTCGAGTGACCACCAGTACAGCTCTGGTCACCACCAGTACTGCTCCAGTCTTCACCAGTACAGCTCCGGTCACCACCAGTACAGCTCCAGTGACCACCAGTACAGCTCCAGTTACCACCAGTACATCTCCGGTTACCACCAGTACGGAACCAGTCACCACCAGTACAGCTCCAGTGACCACCAGTACAGCTCCAGTTACCACCAGTACTTCTCTGGTTACCACCAGTACCGAACCAGTCACCACCAGTACAGCTCCGGTCACCACCAGTACAGCTCCAGTTACCACCAGTACAGCTCCGGTCACCACCAGTACGGAACCAGTCACCACCACTACAGCTCCAGTGACCACCAGTACAGCTCCGGTCACCACCAGTACGGAACCAGTAACCACCAGTACAGCTCCAGTCACCACCAGTACAGCTTTGGTCACCACCAGTACAGGACCAGTAACTATAAGTACAACTCCAGTCACAACCAGTACAACTCCAGTGAGCACCAGTACGGGACCAGTAACCACCAGTACAGCTCCAATCACTACCATTACGGAAACAGTGACCACCAGTACAGCTCCAGTGACCACCAGTACAGCTCCCGTCACCACCAGTACGGAACCAGTAACGACCAGTACAGCTCCCGTCACCACCAGTACAGCTCCAGTAACCACCAGTACAGCTCCCGTCACCCCCAGTACGGAACCAGTAACGACCAGTACAGCTCCCGTCACCACCAGTACAGCTCCGGTCACCACCAGTACAACTCCAGTGACCACCAGTACAGCTCCGGTCACCACCAGTACAGCTCCAGTCTTCACCAGTACAGCTCCAGTGACCACCAGTACAGCTCCGGTTACCACCAGTACAGCTCCAGTAACCACCAGTACAGCTCCGGTCACCACCAGTACAGCTCCAGTCTTCACCAGTACAGCTCCGGTCACCACCAGTACAGCTCCAGTCACCACCAGTACAGCTCCAGTCACCACCAGTACGGAACCAGTAACCACCAGTACAGCTCCGGTGACGACCAGTACGGAACCAGTAACCACCAGTACAGCTCAAGTGACCACCAGTACAGCTCCGGTCACCACCAGTACGGAGCCAGTAACCACCAGTACAGCTCAAGTGACCACCAGTACAGCTCCGGTCACCACCAGTACGGAACCAGTAACCACCAGTACAGCTCAAGTGACCACCAGTACAGCTCCGGTCACCACCAGTACAGCTCCAGTGACCACCAGTACAGCTCCGGTCACCACCAGTACAGCTCCAGTCTTCACCAGTACGGAACCAGTAACCACCAGTACAGCTCAAGTGACCACCAGTACAGCTCCGGTCACCACCAGTACAGCTCCAGTAACCACCAGTACAGCTCCCGTCACCACCAGTACGGAACCAGTAACGACCAGTACAGCTCCAGTCACCACCAGTACAGCTCCGGTCACCACCAGTACAGCTCCAGTCACAACCAGTACAGCTCCCGTCACCACGTACAGCTCCAGTCTTCACCAGTACAGCTCCAGTTACCACCAGTACATCTCCGGTTACCACCAGTACGGAACCAGTAACCACCAGTACAGCTCCAGTCACCACTAGTACAGCTCCAGTAACCACCATTACAGCTCCAGTCACCACCAGTACGGAACCAGTAACCACCAGTACAGCTCCGGTGACGACCAGTACGGAACCATTAACCACCAGTACAGCTCCAGTAACCACCAGTACAGCTCTGGTCACCACCAGTACAGCTCCAGTGACCACCAGTACAGCTCTGGTCACCACCAGTACGGAACCAGTAACCACCAGTACAGCTCCAGTCACCACCAGTACAGCTCCGGTCACCACCAGTACAGGACCAGTAACTACAACTCCAGTCACAACCAGTACGGAACCAGTAACCACCAGTACAGCTCCAGTGACCACCAGTACACAGCTTTGGTCACCACCAGTAGCTCCAGTCACCACCAGTACGGAACCAGTAACCACCAGTACAGCTCCAGTCACTACCAGTACGGAACCAGTGACCACCAGTACAGCTCCGGTCACCACCAGTACAGCTCCAGTGACCACCAGTACAGCTCCAGTGACCACCAGTACAGCTCCGGTCACCACCAGTACAGCTCCAGTGACCACCAGTACAGCTCCAGTGACCACCAGTACAGCTCCAGTCACCACCAGTACGGCTCCAGTAACCACCAGTACAGCTCAAGTGACCACCAGTACAGCTCCGGTCACCACCAGTACGGAGCCAGTAACCACCAGTACAGCTCCAGTTACCACCAGTACAGCTCCGGTCACCACCAGTACGGAACCAGTAACCACCAGTACAGCTCCAGTGACCACCAGTACAGCTCCGGTCACCACCAGTACAGCTCCAGTGACCACCAGTACAGCTCCGGTCACCACCAGTACGGAACCAGTAACCACCAGTACAGCTCCAGTGACCACCAGTACAGCTCCGGTCACCACCGTACAGCTCCAGTCTTCACCAGTACGGAACCAGTAACCACCAGTACAGCTCAAGTGACCACCAGTACAGCTCCGGTCACCACCAGTACAGCTCCAGTAACCACCAGTACAGCTCCCGTCACCACCAGTACGGAACCAGTAACGACCAGTACAGCTCCAGTCACCACCAGTACAGCTCCGGTCACCACCAGTACAGCTCCAGTCACAACCAGTACAGCTCCCGTCACCACCAGTACAGCTCCAGTCTTCACCAGTACAGCTCCAGTTACCACCAGTACATCTCCGGTTACCACCAGTACGGAACCAGTAACCACCAGTACAGCTCCAGTCACCACTAGTACAGCTCCAGTAACCACCATTACAGCTCCAGTCACCACCAGTACAGCTCTGGTCACCACCAGTACAGCTCCAGTGACCACCAGTACAGCTCTGGTCACCACCAGTACGGAACCAGTAACCACCAGTACAGCTCCAGTCACCACCAGTACAGCTCCGGTCACCACCAGTACAGGACCAGTAACTACAACTCCAGTCACAACCAGTACGGAACCAGTAACCACCAGTACAGCTCCAGTGACCACCAGTACAGCGTTGGTCACCACCAGTATAGCTCCAGTCACCACCAGTACGGACCAGTAACCACCAGTACAGCTCTCAGTCACTACCAGTACTGAACCAGTGACCCCAGTACAGCTCCGGTCACCACCAGTACAGCTCCAGTGACACCAGTACAGCTCCAGTGACCACCAGTACAGCTCCGGTCACCACCAGTACAGCTCCAGTGACCACCAGTACAGCTCCAGTCACCACCAGTACGGCTCCAGTGACCACCAGTACGGGACCAGTAACCACCAGTACAGCTCCAGTCACCACCAATACGGAACAAGTGACCACCAGTACAGCTCCAGTGACCACCAGTACAGGACCAGTAACCAGCAGTACACCTCCAGTAACACGAGTACAGCTCCGGTCACCACCAGTACGGAACCAGTACTACCAGTACAGCTCCAGTGACCACCAGTACAACTCCAGTAACCACCAGTACAGCTCCAGTGACGACCAGTACGGGACCAGTAACCACCAGTACAGCTAAAGTGACCACCAGTACAACTCCAGTAACCACCAGTACAGCTCCAGTGACGACCAGTACGGAACCAGTAACGACCAGTACAGCTCCAGTGACCACCAGTACAGCTCCGGTTACCACCAGTACGGAACCAGTAACCACCAGTACAGCTCCGGTGACGACCAGTACGGAACCAGTAACCACCAGTACAGCTCCAGTAACCACCAGTACAGCTCCGGTCACCACCAGTACAGCTCCAGTCTTCACCAGTACAGCTCCGGTCACCACCAGTACAGCTCCAGTCACCACCAGTACAGCTCCAGTAACCACCAGTACAGCTCCAGTCACCACCAGTACGGAACCAGTAACCACCAGTACAGCTCCGGTGACGACCAGTACGGAACCAGTAACCACCAGTACAGCTCCAGTAACCACCAGTACAGCTCCGGTCACCACCAGTACGGAGCCAGTAACCACCAGTACAGCTCCAGTCACCACCAGTACAGCTCCAGTGACCACCAGTACGGAACCAGTAACCACCAGTACAGCTCCCGTCACCACCAGTACAGCTCCAGTCTTCACCAGTACAGCTCCAGTTACCACCAGTACATCTCCGGTTACCACCAGTACGGAACCAGTCACCACCAGTACAGCTCCAGTCACCACCAGTACCAGCTCCAGTAACGACCAGTACAGCTCCAGTCACCACCAGTACGGAACCAGTAACCACCAGTACAGCTCCGGTGACGACCAGTACGGAACCAGTAACTACCAGTACAGCTCCAGTAACCACCAGTACAGCTCTGGTCACCACCAGTACAGCTCCAGTGACCACCAGTACAGCTCCGGTCACCACCAGTACGGAACCAGTAACCACCAGTACAGCTCCAGTCACCACCAGTACAGCTCCGGTCACCACCAGTACAGGACCAGTAACTACAACTCCAGTCACAACCAGTACAACTCCAGTGACCACCAGTACGGGACCAGTAACCACCAGTACAACTCCGGTGACGACCAGTACGGAACCAGTAACCACCAGTACGGAACCAGTAACCACCAGTACAGCTCCAGTCACTACCAGTACGGAACCAGTGACCACCAGTACAGCTCCGGTCACCACCAGTACAGCTCCAGTGACCACCAGTACAGCTCCGGTCACCACCAGTACAGCTCCAGTGACCACCAGTACAGCTCTGGTCACCACCAGTACAGCTCCAGTGACGACCAGTACGGAACCAGTCACCACCAGTACAGCTCCAGTCACCACCAGTACGGAACCAGTAACCACCAGTACAGCTCCAGTCACCACCAGTACGGAACCAGGAACCACCAGTACAGCTCCGGTCACAACCAGTACAGCTCCGGTGACGAGCAGTACAGCTCCAGTTACCACAAGTACAGCTCCGGTGACCACCAGTACGGAACCAGTAATCAGCAGTACAGCTCCAGTGACCACCAGTACAGCTCCAGTGACCACCAGTACAGGACCAGTAACCAGCAGTACAGCTCCAGTCACCACCAGTACCGGTCCAGTGACCACCAGTACATCTCCGGTCACCACCAGTACGGAACCAGTCACCACCAGTACAGCTCCAGTGACCACCAGTACAGCTCCGGTCACCACCAGTACAGCTCCGGTCACCACCAGTACAGAACCAATGACCACCAGTACAGCTCCAGTTACCACCAGTACATCTCCGGTTACCACCAGTACGGAAGCAGTCACCACCAGTACAGCTCCAGTGACCACCAGTACGGAACCAGTAACCACCAGTACAGCTCCAGTAACCACCAGTACAGCTCCAGTCACCACCAGTGTAGCTCCAGTAACGACCAGTACAGCTCCAGTCACCACCAGTACGGAACCAGTAACCACCATTACAGCTCCAGTCACCACCAGTACAGTTCCAGTCACCACGAGTACAGCTCCAGTGACCACCAGTACAGCTCCAGTGACCACCAGTACAGCTCCAGTCACCACCAGTACAGCTCCAGTCACCACCAGTACAGCTCCAGTGACCACCACCATCACCACCACCACTCCTGCAGGTCAGCCTCCACCTCTCCCCCGTCCTCCCTCCTCTCGCCCTCCTTCCTCCTCCATCCTTCCTCCCATGCCTCCAATTCTTCCCCTTTTCCCCGGGCTCTCCTCGTGGGACCCCCACCCCTGGGTGCCCCCCGAGGCCCTCCCTGACCTCCGCTCTCCCCGCAGTGTTGTGCCAGAACGGAGGCACCTACGATGATAACAAGTGCATCTGCCTCTTGGACTTCTACGGCCCATTGTGCGAGTACTCCACCGCCTCCATCCCCACCGACATCCGTAAGTGCGCCCGACCCCCCCCCCCCCCCCCCCCCAAGCCCGCGGCCTCCCCCCCTGCTCGTGGCCTCCCCCCCGGCCTCCCCGCGCTCACCCCTCTCCTGCCTCTCGCAGCCGTCGAGGAGGGGACGATCGTGGCCAACGTGGAGCTGGTGGTGACCGTCACCAACTTCAACTACACGGAGGAGCTGCAGGACCCCCGCTCGGAGGCCTACGAGAAATTCGCCAAGCATTTTCGGCAGGAGGTGGGGCCCGGGGAGCACGAGGGGAGGCCGGGTTGGGCAAGGGGAGTCCGGGCCACACCAGACCCGTCCTCATGGCACCCCTCACCCTTGCAAGATGGCCAAGATCTACGGCTCCGTGCCCGGCTACCAGGGCGTGAAGATCCTCAGCATCAGGCCCGCGGCTTCCAGGAAGGGGGGAGTCCGGGTGCGCAGAGCCTCCGTGATCCTCCCCGAGGGCACCGGCCTCGAGGTGGACCACGAGGTCATCTTCAGCACCGTTGCCAGCCCCGACCTGAGCGAGGAGTTCCAGAACAAGACGGAGGAGCTGGTGCAGAAGCTTAAGGAGACTGCTCAAAGCCAGGGCAACTGCACGCACGACACCTGTGGGTGCCCCGTCCTCCCCCCTCGCCCCCCGACCCCCAAGGGAGGCCCTGAAGAAGGGTCCCTGACAGCCTCTCTCCCCCCACAGCCGTCGTCTGCCTTGTGGTGTCGGAAAGCCCCGTCGTCAAGAACATGACGGAGTCCCCTACGCTTGACGGTGAGTCCGGGGTGCCCCCATGGACCCCCATGCACCCCCCGAGTCTCCTATGCAGCCCGCCATCCCCTACGCGCCCCATGAGACCCCCTTGAAGCCCACCAGCCCCTATGAGCTTCACAAGCCCCATGAGCCCCCAAAAGACCCCCATGAAGCCCACCAGACCCTACGCACCCTACTCAACCCCAAAGATCCCCAAGAGACCCCAATGAGCCCCATGAAGCCCAAAAGACCCCCATGAACCCCACCAGCCCCTTATGAGCCCCACCAGCCGCCCATAAAGCCCACCACCCTACATGAGCCCCACCAGTCCGCTACAAGCCCCACTAGCCCCCTATAAAGCCCACCACCATCAAGGCACCCCACCCGCCCCCATCAGTCCCACCTGCCACCTACATGCCCCCTGAGCCCCCCATGCACCCCACCAGCCCCTACGCACCCCACCACCCCATTTGACCCCCTCCTGTGCCCCCTCCTCAGCACTGTGCCAGCAGCTGGCCCCCATCGCCTACCAGGACTACTACTACGCGATGAACGTGAGCAACATCCTCCGCTGCGTCACCAACTGCACGGCCAACACGCCCGGCACCATCAACTGCAACCACGGCCTGTGCCACGTCACCCGTGCCGGGCCACAGTGCTTGTGAGTGCCACCACGCGTCCCCCTGTGGGCCCCCCCGGCCCCGTGGGACCACTGGGTCTGACCTTTCCTTGTCCCCATAGCTGCTGGGATGAGTCGCTCTACTGGTACACGGACAGCCGGTGCTCCGGGCGCATCAGCAAGGTGGCCACCGGGCTGGGGGTGGTGATCGCGGTGCTGCTCATTGCCTGCATCGTCTTTATCGTGCTGCTGGCGAAGAGGAGGAAAAGGTAGAGGGGCAGGAATGGTTGGGTTGGGTTAGGTTGGGATGGTTCGCTGAGTTGGGGTCAGGTTGAGTTGGGTTGAGTGGGTTCTGTTGGGTTGAGTTTGGGTTAGATTGAGTTGGGTTGGAATGGTTTGGTTCATTGATTTCTGATTGGGTCACGTTGGGGTTGAGTTGAGGGTGGTTGGGTAGCTAGGGTTGGGATGGTTGGGTTGGTTGATTTGGGATGGGGTCGTGTTGGGTTGGTTGGGTTGAGTTGGGTCAGGGTGGGTTGGTTGGGTTGGGTTGATTTTGGTTGGGATGGTTCAGTTGGTTGGGTTGAGTTGGGTTGGTTGGGTTGAGTTGGCAGGGGGGTCACATCGGGTTGGGTTCATTGGGTTGAGTTGGGTCAGGACAGTTGGGTTGGGCTTGGTTGAGTTGAGTTGGGCTGAATCGGGTTGGGTTAAGTTAGGTTGAGTTGGGTTGGTTGGATTGGGTTGGGTTAAGTTGGGTTGGTTGGGTTGAGTTGGGTCAGGTCAATTGGGTTGGGTTGGGTTGAGTTGAGTTGGGTTGGGTTGAATTGGGTTGGATTGGGTTAAGTTGGGTTGAGTTGGGTTGAATTGGGTTGGATTGGGTTAAGTTGGGTTAAGTTGGGTTGAATTGGGTTGGATTGGGTTAAGTAGGGTTGAATTGGGTTGAATTGGGTTGGATTGGGTTAAGTTGGGTTGAGTTGGGTTGAATTGGGTTGGATTGGGTTAAGTTGGGTTGAGTTGGGGTTGAGTTGGGTTGAGTTGGGTTAAGTTGGGTTAAGTTGGGTTGAATTGGGTTGGATTGGGTTGGATTGGGTTAAGTTGGGTTGAATTGGGTTGGATTGGGTTAAGTTGGGTTAAGTTGGGTTAAGTTGAGTTGGGGGTCTTTGCCTCAAAGCATCTTGTGTGGTGGGTACGTACCCTTGGGGTCTTCTGCTTCGGTGTGGGGTTGGTGGTGGACACCTGGGCATGCTGGGGGGGGGTGGGGGGGCACAGCCCCCTCCCCCCATCCCTCCGCCCCCCTCTGAGCCCGCTGGCGCTGCCCCCCAGGAACGCTGCGTCCACCGCTGGGGACAGCTGGTACGAGGAAGACGGCTGCACCTGGACGTCACCCGACGGCTTCCTCTTCATCAACAACGGCGCCAACACAGGTTCGGGGGGGCTCTGGGGAAGATGGGGGGGGGGTCAGCATCTGTGGGGGGGGGGGTCCACAGCTGCTCACCCCCCCCCACCCCATATCCTCAACAGGCGGCAGCGTACGGAGCTTCACGCCCTCGCTGGACGTTGTGAACACCGACATCCCGGTGGGTGCCCCCCCCCCTTCCAGACCCGACCCCCCCACCCCTCAGCCCCCCCCCCAGACCCCTCTAACCCCCCCCCCTCCTTTATTTCCCCCCCCCAGATGCACATCGCCAGACCCTCGCTGAGACCCCCGCCGTGAGGACCCCTCCACAGCGCGGAGACCCCCCCACGGCTCTGCCCCCCCCCCCCCCGCCACGGGCTGGGCCCCTGGCACGCGGGCCGTGCCCAGGGCCCCCCCCCGCTCCCCTCCCTCTATTTATTATTTATTTGCCCCCCCCCAGCCTGTAATAAATTAATTGCTCTCGTTAGTCCTGGCTAATTGGCTCCGTTAATCGGGGGTGGGTCCTTGGCCCTAAATCAGAGCACACCCAAAATAGGGGGGGGAGAAATTTGGGGGGGGGGAATATTTGGGGGTGGGGGGGTTATTTAGGGGTCCCAGCACCTTGAGGGGAGGGGGAGGAGGTGGGGGGTGCACCGAATTTGGGAGGGGTTCTTGGGAATTTGGGGTCTTTGGGGATTTTGGGGGGGGGGAAAGCAGGTTGGGGGGGTCCCCAGTAACTCGGGGGGGGGGGCGGGAGGCAACCCCTGTGGCTCAGTCCTGGGGGGGGGGGGGTATGTACTGGGTTATACTGGGGCACACTGGGATACCCCGAGGAGATGGAGGGGGGGGGCAGGATCATTTTTTACGGGGGAGGGGGGCTTTTTTGGAGGGACAGGGACATTTTGGGGGGGGGACAGGGACTTTTGGGGGGCACAAGGAACTTTTTTTTGGGGGGGGCAAGGACTTTTTGGGGGGGGATACAGGGACTTTTTTTTTTGGGGGGGGACCGGGTCACTCACGAACCCCTCCCGCCCCCCTCCCCTGTGACTCAACAGCCACGGGGGGGGGATGGGGACACGTAATGGGGGGGGTCAGATTTGGGGCCAAGGCGTGGGGGGGGGGCACCGCCCCGGGAGGCGCCGCCTCTCGCCCCAATCTTATCGGGGCCGGCCCCCGCCCACCCCTGGGCTCCCCGATAAAAGGGGGGGCGAGACGCAGCCCCCCCCCGGCGGCGACGGCAGGCGAAGGGCCCCCCCCCGGCACGATGCTGCTCCGCTGCCTCCTCTTCCTCCCCCTCCTCTTCCTCTTTGTCCCCGTTGTGGAGCCCTCGGGTGAGTGGGGGGCGCTGGGGGGGGGACTGGGGGGGGAGAAATTTGGGGGGGGGTCTTTGGGTAAGACGGGGGGGTGAGTAAGGGGATTTGGGGTAAGGGGGTGTTTGGGGGGGGTCTTGGGGTAAGGGGATTTGGGGGTAAGGGGATTTGGGGTAAGAGGGGTATTTGGGTGGGGGGGGCTTAGGTAATGGGGATTTTTGGGTAAGGGGGGGTTTCAGGTAAGGGGGGGTCCTGGGTAAAGGGGATTCTTGGGTGGGGGGGGTCTTTGGGTAAGGGGGTCATTGGGTAGGGGGATTCTTGGGAAAGGGGGGGGTCTTTAGGTAAAGGGGGGGGTCTTTGGGGTAAGGGGGGGGGGGTTTGGGGTAAGGGGTATTTATGGGTAAGGGGGGGTCCTGGCTAAAGGGGTTCCTCATTTAGGGGACCCCTTGGGTGGGGGGGTCCTGGCCAGATTTAAGGGGGGGGGTCCCCACCCTCTGAGGTACATTTGGGAGGGGGGGTTCACAGCCGCTCTATGCCCCCCCCGGGGGTCTCACACGCCGCCCCCCCCCCCTCTTACAGCCCCCTGCCAGAACGGCGGCACGGCGGTGGGGGAGTCCTGCGCCTGCCCCCCCGGCTTCAACGGCACCCGCTGCGAGACCCCCGAGCCCACCAGGGCCTGCCGCGGGGGGGGCACCCCGGTGGGCACCAAGTGCCTGTGCCCCCCCGGCTTGGGGGGGCCCCTCTGCGAGCTCCCCGACCCCTCGGGCGCCTGCCGCAACGGGGGCACGGCCTTCGGGACCTCCTGCGTCTGCCCCCCCGGTTTTGGGGGGGCCAGGTGCCAGTTCCCCGAGCCCCCCACCTCTTGCCTCAACGGGGGGACCCTGGGGGGGGGCGCCTGCCGATGCCCCCCGGGGACGTGGGGGCCCCGCTGCGAGTGTTTCAGTGCCACCGCCACCACGGATGAGATGAGGGGGGTGACGGTGACAGTGGTGGGGGGGACGTTAGGGGGAAGGGAGACCCCGGTCACGGCCCCCCCCGGGGGAAACGCCACCCTCGCGACCCCCCCGGCGAGCAACGGGACGGAGATGATGCGCCGGGAAAGTGACGGCGCGACCACAACGCCAAGAGGGGGGGGAGTCAACGCAACGTTCGGGACCCCCCTGGGAAGCAACATGACATCCACGGCCCCCCCGGGAAGCAACATCACACTTGTGACCCCCCCGGGAAGCAACACGACGCTCACGGCCCCCCCAGAAAGTGAAACCACGGAGCCAACAACCTTGGAAAGCAACGCAACGACGCGTGGAGAAGTCAACACAACGCTCGTGACCCCCCCAGCAAGGAATACAATGCTCCTGCCCCCCCCCGAAAGCAACACAACGGTAACGGCCCCCCCTGAAAGCAACACGACACTCACAACCCCCCCAGAAAGCGAAACCACGGAGCCAACAACCTTGGAAAACAATACAACAATGCGTGGGGAAGTCAACACAACGCTCCTGACCCCCCCAGCAAGGAATACAACGCTCCTGCCCCCCCCCGAAAGTAATGTCACAGTCGTGGACGCCCCAGAAAGCAACACGACACTCGTGACCCCCCCAGGAGGCAACACCACGCTTCTGGCCCCCCCTGAAAGCGAAACCACGGTGCCAACGCCCTTGGAAAGCAACGCAACGACCGCGCTGCCAACACACGGGGAAGTCAACGCAACGCTTGTGACCCCCCCAGGGAGAAACACAACACTCGTGTCCCCCCCAGGAAGCGATGTCACAGTTGTGGCCCCCCAGAAAGCAACACGACGCTCACGGCACCCCCAGAAAGTGAAACCACGGAGCCAACGCCCTTGGAAAGCAACGCAACGACGCGTGGGGAAGTCAACGCAACGCTCACGACCCCCCCCAAAAGCAATGTCACCCCCCCGACCACCCCCATCAACATGACGGCCACCACGGGGACACCCCCGCCCCATCCCAGCACCACCGGTGTCACCGCTGTCACCAACAGCGCCGTCACGGCCATGATCTGCCTCTTTCTGCCGCACGGATCCAGCCCTCCGGCCAGTGGGTGTCATGGGGTGGGGGTCCTTGGGGTGTTGGGGTCCTTGGGGTGGGGAAGGGCTTTGGGGTTGGGGGATCCTTGGGCTGGGGAGGGTCCTTGGGACATTGGGTCCTTGGGGTGGGGGTCCTTGGGGTGTTGGGGCCCTTGGGATGGGGGTTTCTTGGGGCATTGGACCCTTGGGGTGTTGGCGTCTTTGGGGTGGGGGTACTTGGGGTGGGGAAGGTCTTTGGGGTTGGGGTTCTTGGGGCGTTGGGTCCTTGGGGCACTGGGTCCTTGGGGTGGGGGTTCTTGGGGCATTGGGTCCTTGGGGTTTTGGGGTCCTTGGGGTGGGGGGTTCTTGGGGCATTGGACCCTTGGGGTGTTGGCGTCTTTGGGGTGGGGGTCCTTGGGGTGGGGAAGGTCTTTGGGGTTGGGGTTCTTGGGGCATTGGGTCCTTGGGGCACTGGGTCCTTGGGGTGGGGGTTCTTGGGGCATTGGCTCCTTGGGATGGGAGGTCCTTGGGGTCAGGAGAGTCTTTGGGGTTTTGGGGTCCTTGGGGTGGGAGGTTCTTGGGGTGTGGGGTTCTTTGGGTTTTGGGGTCCTTGGGGTGTTGGGTTCTTCTTAAGGGGAGGAAGAAGGAGGAGAGGATGGAAGTGGGTGCAGCACCCTGTGGTTGGGGCTCAGGGGGAGGAAGGGGGGTCTCCTTGGGGTGGGTTGGGGTCTCCTGCCCTTGGTCAGGAGGAACCTGGGGTCTTGCGGGGCGGACGGAGGAGGAGGAGGAGGGGACGGAATGGGGTGTCCCTGGGTGGGGGCCTCCTGGGGAGGGAGGCCGGATGGAGGCCACCCACCGGGCACCCCTGGGGGCTTCCAAGAGGCGGGAGGGGAAAAGTGGGGAGGGGGAGGATGAGGAGGGGGGGGGGACACGACACCTCCTGGAGGGGATGAAGATGAGGAGGAGGAGGTCGCCCACCCGGCCTCCCCTTCGCAGTCTCCTGCCTCAACGGCGGCGTGGCCAACCGCACCGAGTGCCTCTGCCCGCCCGGCTTCAGCGGCCTCACCTGCGAGAGGCCGGACCCCGGCGCCCGCTGCGCCAACGGCAGCACCGCCGTGGGCGACCGCTGCCTCTGCCCCCCGGGGCTGTCGGGACGCCGCTGCGAAGTCCGCGACGAGGCCACCGCCTGCCAGCACGGGGGCACGGCCGTGGGCACCGAGTGCTATTGCCCCCCGGGCTTCGAAGGGCCCCGGTGCGAGAGGCAAGGTGCCACCACCGCCGCCACGACCACGACCACCGCTCGCCCTACCACCAAGGCCACGCCGAGGAGCACCAGGAGGACCACCACCACCACCGTCCCTACCACCGCAGGTTGGTGGCCCTTCGGCTCCCCGGGGCTCCCCTAGGAGATTTGGAGGCCCCCCCGTGGAGGTCGGTGGCACCGTGGACCTCGACGGAGGCCGCTCCAAGCCCAACGCCGTTGGCGTTGCCTTTTCTCCCCGTTCCAACCCCAACAACTGTGCTGGGTGGGAGGTGGCTGTGGGAAAAGGGGGGTGCAGGGGGAGTACTCACGCCCCCCCCTCGCCCCACAGACCCCTGTCTGAATGGTGGGCACTGGACTGGGACCGTTTGCCTGTGTCCCCCCAACGTGGACGGAGCCCACTGCCAGTTTGGGGCCTCGACCATCAACATCACAGCGGGTAAGGCAGGATGGGGATGCCCCCGTTGCCCCCGTTGTCCCCCCTAACCTTGGGGACGCACTGTGGGACCTCACCAACCTCCTCCTCTTCCTCCTCCTCTTCCTCCTCCTCTTCCTCCTCCTCTTCCTCCCCAAGAGCTGGGTCCCAGCGTGGCGCTGATGGCGCGCGTCACCAACCGCCGCTTCTCCGGGGACATGGGGGACCCCTCATCCGCCGCCTTCCGCAGCTTCGCCGATGAGTTCAGCCGCACGGTGAGTGTCCCGGCACCGCGACGGTGTCACCACGGCAGCCCCGTGTCGCGACGGGTGACAACGTGTCTCCCCCTCCCTAGATGGATCGCGTCTACCGGAATGTCTCCGGCTACCGCGGCACCCGGGTGCTGGCTCTGACGTGAGTTTGTGGCCAAGGCGAGGACGGGATGGGATGGGATGGGGAGGAA